CAATATTCCTCAAAATTAATAAAAAGTCAAATGCAAACTATGTATTATACAAAACTGCAACAATTAAATGTTAAAGTGCCCCTATTATGCCCTTTTTTCGGTTCCTAATATTGTTTTGAGAGTCTCCTACAATAGGATTACATGCATGCAAGGTCAAAAAACGCTTTTGTTTTCTCAAAATATGCATTTAATATCACCTCATTTTCCAGCGATTCTCAAATGATTCGTTCGAAGCAGTTAAAAGATTCAGTCTCTCTAAAACCCTCCTTTCCATGAGCCTGCTCTGCTCTGATTGGTCAGATGGCCTAGTCTGTTGTGATTGGTCTACGGCGTACAGCGCGTTTTGGAAACGATACGGCAATTTCAGTAGTTCTGTATTTTGAACACTCTATAGAAAATATAAACATCTGTTATTTATCATACTTACAGGTTGTGATTCAGTGGAGCAGCTGGTCCAAATAAACAGGATACTGATCCATCTTTCAACAGCAAGCGTTTTGTGAATCCCACGTTGAACTCCCCGAGATTAGAGAAGATGTGTTTGTGGGCGGGGTCAAGTTGTTTGCGGCCGGCCAACGTAGAACATAGGCGGGAATTATGCAAATGTGTTACCCCGTGACGTGTAGCCGTCACGAAAGTGGGATTTGAATTACAAACAACTTGTTTCAGCTGTTCAGAGTCTATTTATTTTGGGAGACAATAACTTTATTTATCGTGCACTTTCAGCTTTACAAGTTTGCAGATAGTTTACATCCACATACAGCTACATTACACACTGCATGAAAGGCAATATTGGAAATGGCATAATAGGGGCACTTTAAATAAGACAAAAATCATTCATGTATTTAATCACATTTTATTAGCTCATGTCTTTGCTACTGAACTTCGTTGATCCAATTCAACCACATTAAGCAAAAAATGACACATTTGTGTTTCATTTTTGTTAATGCTGAATAGTGTTCAACTTCTCCTGCATCATATTCATGCAATTTGAGTTGCGCCTTCTACTGTACAGATATGAGTTTACATTTCCTTCAGCCTGAGGCATATTCATTTCACTTTTGTTGTGAAAGGGCCTTTTAATTTGTAAAAGAAGAACTACTTATATTAAAAACAAACAAACAAGCCCTGCCGAGATTAAAAAAGTAACCAAAAAGTAATGTAACTCATTACTTTCCATAAAAGTAACATAATTAGTTACTTTTTTAGGGAGTAACGCAATATTGTAATGCATTACTTTTAAAAGTAACTTCCCCAACACTGTCTATATGTGTACATACATTTATTTTAATTACCTTTTTTTTCTAGTAGTAGTAGTAGTTTCTGTTTTCTTGTAGTTTAATATATATTTAAAACATTTTTCAACCTCAAATTAACTCGATAGTTAAGAGTTCTTAATTGTGATGAAGGAAATCCATAGAAAATGTAAATTTGTGTTTAGAGTATCGTAGTGGTCAACTTGAATCATTTCTTTTCAAAGCTAGTGATCTGTATCTGAAATTGTGTTATGAGGTTAACCATTCCTGTCCTGTTGTAGGCCTCCTGCTGACCCTTCTGGAGTGCAGTGGCGTGCGGCCGAGGGGACTTCTGAAAGATGAAGTCCAGTCTGAAACAGCGGCTTGCCCTCGGCCTCATGCTGGCCTGGGTGCTGCTGTTCCTGGTGCTCCTCTCCTACTTCATGGAGTCCCGAGTTGACGACCCGCACTCAGCGGCCGCTCTCACCTACACAGACACACGGCGCCTGACCTCGCTGCAGGGCAACCCCCGCACCATTATGGCCACCTATTTGGGGCTTGGCACCTCCTCAACCCCCCCTGCCTCCAGCAACACCCAACAGGAGCAAAGCCAGGAGGAAAACCCCAGCGCCGACCCCCAGCCCAGTCCGCTTAGCCAGGAGGCCTACCCCTATCCCGACCCTCAGAGCCTGGCGGCCTGGTCTGCATTCGGCACCCAGGACATGGGTTCCAGATCGGCCGCTGTGAGTCGCAACCGTGAGAGACAAGAGTATAATCAGGATTCCCCTCAACAGGATGAAGAAGAGGACGAGGAAGAGGTGGTTGGAGGGGAAGAGGAAGATGAGGATGAGGGAGACGAGGGCAGGAGGAGGAAGACTAAACAGGCGGCTATGCGTGACTACTCTGACCCGGATGAGTACTATGTTCCCAGGTCAAAATCCGTAGTGCGCGGCCTGTGGAAAGGGAGTTTGTCCGTGGACATGCTCAGTCCTCGCCTGCAGAGAGCTATGAAAGACTATCTGAATAATAATAAACACGGCGTGGCCTACAGGGGGCACCGGAAGGCGCAACAGAGCGGCCAACAGGTGTTGTGTGAGCTGAAGAAGGGGGAAAAGGTTCGAACTTTGGATGGGGCCGAGATGCCTTTTTCCAATTTAGGCTGGCAGAAGATTGTACCTGCCTTACCTTTAAGCCAGCTCTACGGGCCAGGCTTCCAGACCTGCGCTGTGGTCACCTCTGCCGGAGCCATGCTTCACTCGGGACATGGCAAGGAGATTGGTGAGATAATAACTTGGCATAATACAACAACAATAATAATAATAATAATTATTATTATTTTATTATATATAAAATAATATAATGTATTTATTTATTTTTCACATTTACATTTGCGCCGTCTTTTGCCATCAATCCTTAAAAATACAAATGTAATAACCCTGCAAAATCATGTATTTTAAATATTTAGCATATTTTAATGCATATATTGTACTTTATGATGTTTTTATGTCTAAATTAATTAGAAGCATTAAAATGGTTTATTTTAGTTTTTATGGTATCATTTTTTTTAAATACCAGAATAGTATTGAAATCTGATGTCTGCCTTAAATGATTTCTTCCATAAAATAATGAATGAAATGCTTATTATCACTGATACAGCTTTATCAGTATCGTTCAGATTTTTAATAGTGGTTTATTCCTGCTTATTGATTTTATAAAATGGTGGACCAGAATAATCAATTATTCTCTCTAGTAGGGATGGGCGATATGGGCTTAAAAATATATCACGATAATTTCTTATATTTATTGCGATAACGATATCAATGACGATAATTTAGGGAATCCTGTTTCTTTAGAGCAGTGGTCACCAACCTTTTTAGGCCCAAGATCCCTGACCTCGGCCTTTATGAAAGACAAGATCTACCTATTGAAGAATTGATAGAAAAAGACATCCCAGATTGTACTTCAAATTTGAGGCCTTTTACTTAGTATTTTAATTAGTGATGCGCTGATCATAGCTGATTCAGAATTCAGATTTTCTTTTCTTTCTTACTAGCAAATTGGATTCTGATACTGATACTGATTTTTAAGCAAATTTATTTATTGGCTATTTGCTTTATAACAAACAAAAACTGGGTTTAAACAAAAATATCTAGCCATTTGAAATTAGAGGCAACCACTGCATTTTAATCATGACAGATTAAAAATGATTTGTTCAAAAACCGTTGTTTTTGATTTGATTTAGATTAATTTCAGGATTTAAAACAAAAACAGAATGGTCTGACTTTAGGTGTTATTTATTTATTTATTTGCTACATAAAACATCTGCACGAAACAAAAACAGCAGGTCTGAATGAGACGCACTCTCTGACAGCAGGTGGCGCCTACGAACCAGCCAGGTTTTCGCAATAAAACTAGTCCAATCACGTTTCGAGGAGGGTTCCCCTGTAAAAATCGCATTCCGGGGGTAAAATACACGTTTTTCGGCGGGAATCTTCCAGTAAAATTCACATTCCAGGGACTAAATATCACGTTATTGGGGTCGCTTCAGCTGCTCAATTTCATGTCCGCCTTCCTTCACGTCACTCCACACAGTCGCACACAGAAATATGTCAACAACTAGACTTTATCGTTATTACCGCGGGAAGACGAATTCTTAACGTGTGGAGAATTTTTACCGGTATATCGCAAACGATTAGATATCGCCCATCCCTACTCTCTAGTAATATAGTTCATTAGCCTGACTGTTGTAGGCTGTTTTAGCTTGCCAAGTGTCAAGATGTTTTGGATGTGACTCATCCAGTCAGATTTCAAAGTCATAACTATTACTTTTGAAAAAGGAGAAATTGTCAGTGGCTTAATATTTCCTGATTTGTTTTTTTGTTTGTTTTTTATGCTTGAGGTTCCTTGTGACCTTTTCCATCATAGTTGCTTGAAAACCAGAATAGCTGTCCTGATTTAGTCTTTTCAGAAGAGTCTCCTCATGATGCGAAACTAGACTGTGAAGAGAGGCCTTGTTTTTGGTTGGGTTTAGGAACCATTCTCACTCTCATTCTCTTCACTTGTGGTTTTTTGTTTCTGTGGTGATGCCAGTTTCTCTGAAAGGGTCAGTGGGATACCGATGCCCTTTACGGTTGCATAATCATGAGTATCACAGAGCACACAAAGAGTCCAGATTCTTCCAGCTTTGGCATCTATGGTGGCAGAGCGGTAGTGGGCACAGAAGGACAGGTTTCCATGGTGATGGCACAGCTTTGGTTGTTTCTCAGGATAATGGTGACTCTGCCGTCTCATGAAGGCATTTGGTGGCGATGAGACAAATAGTTTCACAGTCATTTGTAGAGTAGATGATTTCGAACCATCTTTTCTATCACGATTTTAATTACATTTGTACTTGTACTCAAAGGCTTCCTCTCTCTCTGTCTCGCTTCATAATTGCACTAAATATCACTAAATTTCCCTGTGGGGCAATTTCTTTTCCTTCAATATTTATATTTTACTGCTGTTATGATAGAGCTAGTATCAATTGTGTATATTAGCCTATTCGTTTATGCTGTTAAGGTGAGACATAACTGTAGCTCCTATTGTTTTTATTCTGCCAGATTTTTGTCTTAGTCCATTAAACTGTATTTGAAGTTATGTTGAGTAGGGCTGCCATTAACGACTATGTTTATTTCGATTAATCTATCGACTAATTTATCGGGTAGTCGATTGATCTAAATGATTAATTTCCCACACAAAAAATAAACCATTTTAAAGAACATTTTATTAAACTTGCAACTTTGCCATTCAGTAGTGTACCATAAAGTATAAATGTAAACAAGCCATTGACGAAATGTAAAACGAAAAGAGTAAAAATTTAAACAAACCTAATAAAAATTAAATACAAAGAAAATAATTACAAAAGTCTGAGAAAGTCAGCATGTTCTTAATGTCAATATATCCACATGTTCTGGGCTTCTGTTCATTACAGCTGTGAGTGCAACTACAAAGGGAAAAATAATCTGTTTCAATTAACCCCAACAGTTGGGTTTTCACATTAAATAAATGCAATGTTTAGAGTCCACTAGAATCAAGTATTAAAATTAAAAGTATTAAAAGTAGCCTATTAAAAGTACTCTTAGAAATGTGTAAACAACAGAAGTAAGTGTCCATCTCATAGTCCAAATCACTGAAACAAGTTCAGTATTATAGTGTAAGAATGACAACATGTCTACGTGTTCTGGTCTACTAATAATAAAGTATTATAATTAATAAATAATTTTTGTGGTAATAAAAACAGATGTAGGTTAAGTGAACAATAGCCTTTAAATTTACTTAAAATACATATATAATAGCAATGAGGCAATAATAATTAGTTCAAATAAAGTATCAAAAGCAAGAAATCATATGGTTTTATTGAACAAAACTGTTAAAATACTGTATTATACTGTAATAGAGCCACTGATCTATATATAATTATATAATAATATAATATATTCTCTATTATAGATCAGTGAATAGCTAATGTACAGTACGCATTACAACAAAGGCCTGCAGGGGGCGCCAACGGCCTGATGATTATTTTTACACATTACTATGCGATCTAATACTTGTTTAATATTGACCAAGCATCATTTAATTAAAATGTCCACTTAATCTTTAATATTTGGTCATTTCTTTAGGACAGAAATGCTATAGCCACTGTAATTTAATGAATATGTGGACATCAAAACGTGTAAACTCAGAGTAAGGGTTTGAGCTTTTATTTTGAAACCGCGATGTATTCTCCTGAGTTTGTGTGGATTTATAAATGATTTACCTTACAAATCTGATTAAATGGCACACGTTGCGTTCCCAGATGAACGTTATAATAAACCCAAACGTTGAGTAGAGAAATATTTGTATTCTGTATTGACATACATTTGAGTGAGACGAATTATCGGAAAAGGAGAAAAAAATTTACAATGGGGACTTGATATAAGCAGACTAGCCTACATTATTGGACAAATCTGGTATTCATCGCCAGACAGAAGTCTGTTATTTCACTGAAGGATCGAATATGACTTTTTGAATTAAAATTAATTCAAATGTTGTGGAATTTGGGGTACTAATTGATCCTTCACAAAACCCACCCTCCTTAGTTACTGTTGCTATGTCCGACAAACCATGCCGCTCTCACCACACATCATGTTCTGACGCAGTGAAATGTTCTGACGCACGGAGCAAAGAGGAAACTGACAACACACCGACAGACAAGACAGAGCAGGTTACTTCTGGTATGATACAAGAACTCGGCTTTCAAATTTGGTCATTTTAAGAAATTCAAACAATAAATACAGTTTTGTGGCTCTTCAATGTGTCGTGACGGATCACTGTAGCACATAGGGATGTAACGGTAATGAAAATTTCTTATCATGATTATAGTGACCAAAATTATCACGGTTATCGGTATTATCACGGTATTGTTCAAATGTGCTGGAGATGTTCAAAAAGTACCAACACATAAATCACTTCACCAAGTTTTATATTTAAAAATCAACAAACAACAAATAAAATGACATTTTGTTTGCATAATCACTAAAACAATAACATTTACCAATGATGTTCGGATTTTAAATGACAACTTGACGGACAACAGTTTAATAGCATGTTCAAATATCTAATGTAAATGTTCAAATAAAGCGTTGAAAAAGTTTCATAAAGTAAACCTCACATTTCAGCCTTTAAATAAAGAAAAGAGTTAAGTCAAAATTATAATTGATTAATAAATTATTATATGCATTTTATCTGCTCCATAAATAATTTTAGATAGCCTTTCTGAATTGTTTAAATGTGTACAATCCACATAAGCTTGTTTTTCATCAACCGGTCAAAATTTACAGCAGAGCATGCAAATTCGGTCCGTTTTTGGCCTGACAGAAACTGCACACAGGCTGAATGTTAATATAAGTCTCTGTAAATCCACTCGCTGACAGCAGGTGGTGCTTATGGAAAAGCTGTTTCCCGTAAACTCCGTGGACAAAGCAGTATTGCAATTAAGAACACTTCCTTTAGGTATTACATGGAGCGAAGATGAAAACAAAATGCCATCGAATCGTTTCTGAAGACAGTCAGAACCTTCAGAGGTACATTCATATAATTAATTCATTAATATATTAATTTGTATAATTCCCTTAGCACTCTTTTAAAACCTCCCTGCTTTTCCGCCCCGTTTTCACTCAAAACGAAACTACTCTGCGTACTGTGCGCACGTGAGACTGTTCCTTAAAACTGTGCTTTATGCTGGACAGTATTTATTTATCGTGAGGTGTTCAAATCGTGGTAATCTAATACGGTTTTAATGATAATTAAAATATGAAACGGTAATACTAACCGTCGGGAATTTTATCATGATTTATCGTCAAACCGGTAATCGTTACATCCCTAGTAGCGCATCAGTTCAGCGGCACACATGAACCGATCGTCTTTTCAAATTTACTTAAAGCACAAAAATAAACATGAATGAACATCAGAACGTATTTTATTTAAACTGCAGAAAGACGTCAGTACACACAGTTTTTCAAGTTTTAAGTTCACCAAAGTTAATCTACTCTCCTGTCTGATTTGTTTGTTGGACAAAATGGCAGATTTGGCATTATGATTGGCCAGATCGACTGTCAATCAAACTCTTTGTGAAGGGTCAATTGGGGTGAATTTAGCTTAGCAACATTATTTGTCCCTTTTAGTAAAATGGCATCTAAAGCAATAGTTCACCCAAAAATGAAAATCTGCTGAATTTACTTGCCCTCACTGGCTCTCCAAGATGTAGATAAGTTTGTTTCTTCTTAGGGAACAGATTTGAAGAAATTTAACATCACATCACTTGCTCATCAATGGATCCTCTACAGTGAATGGGTGCCGTCAGAATGAGTCCAAACAGCTGATAAAAACATCACAATCCACACAACTCCAGTCCATCTGTTAACATCTAGTGAAGTAAAAAGCTTCGTGTTTATAAGACAGTCTTCAAGGTTTCAGGTTTGAAACTTCGTTGAGGGAATCCAGAAGTTGTACCTTTGTTGTTCATGAGTTTACATTATATTGGCTGTTTAATGGCTAAATGTTGCTGGAACAAGGTTTGCCAAGAACAAACAAATCATTATAGTGTTCATGCCACTGAAGTACTGCACCCTGTAATAGCTGTATGCAGCTGTATTGATTGAACTGCTTGTTACAGTTGTTGTAGAGTAGCAGTATTACTTCACTCACAGTATGTCTCGCATTGATTTTCCTTAAATTTTAATTTAGACTTAGGCCAGTTTTGATCAGGTTCTATTCCTCCACATCCCCTTTAGCCTGTCTGTTAAATTCAGCTTGTCTTGTCTAAACATTTCCCATCAGCCGTGCCAACCTAGTGTGCCCTCGAAATATACTCAAGGACGAGCCAGAGAGCCAGCAAATCCACAGCACAGCCAAGAGCAGATCTGCCAGCGCTCTCCATGAGAAGCCTGTCTCCAGCTCAACTCATCTAAATCGTATTATTTCCCTGAACATTCATCTATGCATTAAAAAAAAAAAATTGCCCATTGTTTTAATTTTTTTCCAGTCTCCTCACAATGTTTTGTTTGGGAAATGCTACTCTGTTATTAACACTAGTTTGTAGTTTGTCACGTTAATTTTTTCCAGAGAGATTCCAGCTTTGATTCGCATTACAGCTGCTATCATATGCAATGCTGTGCAATCTCTCAGCTGTTTCTCTTTCTTTTTTTTGGCTATAAATGTGTCTACCATCCTAGTCTCAGACGAAACGCCTACAGACACCCACAGTCCGTTTGCTGAATGTCTGATGCATATTGCTCACCAAAATGGGAAAGTATTTTCTCTTTCCTGCAAGCTCTAATGTAGTTGGCTTTCTTTACTCTGGAACTTCTGTAAGTAAGAGCGCACAGGTTGTTTATCAGTCAGCATACAGCGTAAAGTTTGTGGGTTAATTCACCGTTTCCATGGTGATGGCACAGCTTTGGTTGTTTCTCAGGATAATGGTGACTCTGCCGTCTCATGAAGGCATTTGGTGGTGATGAGACAAATAGTTTCACAGTCATTTGTAGAGTAGATGATTCCAAACCATCTTTTCTATCACGATTTTAATTACATTTGTACTTGTATTCAAGGGCTGTCTCACTTCATAATTGCACTAAATATCGCAAAATTTCCCTGTGCACTGTAAAAAAGGATTTGAGACTTTAGCTTCCCCAACTCATTTTCCTAAGTCAGTTCAACTAAAATGTTGGGTACAGGGCAATTTCATTTTCTTCAATATTTATATTTTACTGCTATTGTTATGATAGAGCTAGTACCATTTGATATTTTGATATTATTCTGATATTTTGTTCAAAGCAATAGCAGTACCTCAGCAATGCTTTGTGGCCCGTCTCTTTGTTTATTGTGGTATTATCTAGTTCCAATACATACACCCCCAAGAGGTGCATAAAAAGTGCTTGTGGTTGTATGTCTGTCAGATGTCTAAGTAGGTGGTACTTTACCAGAATAAGCTGCAATGTGGACTAAACCTTGAGCTGTATGGTCTGGTTCAATGAGACCGTTGGTACCCTAGTTGTTGGTCTTCATCTGCCACCTAGTGGTATTGCAATGTCTCTCCACAAAGCACAAATGTATAAAACATAATATAATTGTTCATCATTTTCAGAGGGATTTCTGTTCGGATCTTCTTTTCACATCCTGTGTCTATATAATTTCTCACCATTTCTCTCTTTCACACACCTGCGTGGGCTCTTTTCCTGATGTGACTTATATTCTCT